GCCGATCAGGTAGAGTCGAAGGGATCGTAGTGCGCGGAACAGGCCGTAAATCTCGAGCTTCGGCTGCGAAAACCTTCGTTCGCGATCGTTGAGCGTGATCGAGCCGAACCTGCTGTAGTAACGGACTCGCGTGTTGGCTTCGTCGCACTGACAGAGGTGATATCCAACGGCGATGAACGACGTGTCGACTGCGAGAATGACGGGAGAGGGGGAATCATAATTAATGGCGCGGAGTGCGGGGGATGAGAGCAGCGCGTCCTTTAGGTCTTCTTGCGCCGCTATTTGCTCCGGACCGAACTCGAACTCGACGTCCTTCCTCGTGAGGCGCACGAGCGCATCGGCGCGGTGAGCGAAATTACGGATGAAGATTCGAACGACGCCGATGGTCCCCAGGAACGCTCGAACGTCGGACAGGGTAGCGCATGGACCCCAGTTGCGTATCGAAGCGACGCGAGAGTCGTCGGGGAGGCGTCCGTGAGGAGTGCAGCGATGTCCGACCACCATGATTTCTCGAGCGATGAGGATACTTTTGACTCCAGAGAAGGTACCTCCGGCATAGCGCATTCGAGTGACTATGCGGTTCATGTTCTCGAAATGCTCCCATACAAAGCGTCGAATGCCGGGGTTCGAAGGGAGCCGCTCGTCGTCGTAGTCGGATTCGGGGCCCTTGACGGGAACATCGTCGACGTAGGGCACCGTAACGTGCGGAATCTCGGGCTGCAGGATGTAGGTGACGTCGTCGTGGAAGATCGGGACTGAGTTCGTCCAACCCATCGGTAGTGTTACCAGGCGCATGGCTCCGTAGGGTGTCTGGAACGTCGTTAGATCTCTCGAAGACTCGGCGATGAGTCGTTCGTCGTAGCCGACGTAGAGGTCGAGCATGCCGCCGCATGGTCTTCCTCCGAATTGCTCTGCGAGATATTCGGGCGTCGGCGGTACACCAGAATGTTGGATCGTAACTGCATTGAGGGGCTCGAGGGAATGGACGAGTCGAAGAGATTTACCGTCCTTCTTGACGACACAGAACCACCGCGATCGATACGATGAGTTCGACGGTTCGTAGACTCCGGCGGCGATCTTTCGCTTGATCACCGCGCAGACTTCGTTGTAGATCCCGGGCGGAATGGGAATATTCTTCTGCACCCAGGGCGTGTGAGGAACGACGGGGAAATCGACGGGGGGGAAGTACTCGGGCTTGAAGCATCCGCGCTCGTCGTCGGTCCAGGCGAAGGCTTCGTTGTGCAGGCACATGAAGTGGTGGAGGACGCGACGTTCTTCGGGAAGTAGGAAGTCGCCGTCGTGAAGCTTTTCGGTCATTTCGAAGCGTTCGAGGGTATACCGACCGGTAGGTTTGAACGGCGGGGGGTCGGTCGAAAGCTTAGGCATGATGGATAGAGGGTCGCCCTTGATGTCTCGAAGTATTCGAAATTGTTCGGGGACGGCACCAAGGACGGGTCGGGTTTTGAGAGCGACAGGCTTGTATTTCTTCTTTGTCGCGGCGAGGATCTTGTGCGTCGAAGGGGTAGAAGTCGATGTCGTCGAAGGAAAGGGAAGAATTGAGTTGGAAAGCTGCGAGATGGACTTCGTCGGGACGGGAGCTGGCGGAGTCGAAGCGAACGGAGCTGAAAATAGAAGAGTCGAAGCCCACGTCGAAGCGTTCGACGGAGCGGCATTAGAAGCTGTACTGTCCGAGGCGTAGAGAGACTGTAAATATGAGGAAACGGAGGTGCATGCGGAGAGGTACAGTGACGAAACAGCGTTCGGAGTCGAGGAATCAACAGGAGAGACGAAGGAAATACTTGGTGTTACCCCATCGTAGTCGATGACTAGCGCGGCTTCTCCTTGATCATGGGGAATCAATTCCTCGAAGCTAGAAAATGCGATTTGCGACACCCGGGAGGATGCTTCCGGCTTCGCGATCTTCCTCGCGCGTATGTCGGAATCGTGACGGTTTCGCCGGTGTTCGGACAGAGGATCGTAATGGTCTGGTTCTCGTCGGCGAAATTCTTGACGACGCTCTGCGTGAGCACGTCGAAGGGTCGGCCGAGGAGGATGTCGTACGCTGTGTTTCGAATGACGTGAGCCTGAAGATACAAGACGATCTCACCGATGCGGAATGGAACATTTCGAATGAGTCCTAGCGATCGGTCCACCTCGCCGTTCGCCGATTGCATGTTCAGCTGGATAGTAGGATCGAAGAGGAGGTTGAGGCCCAGACAGACCTCTTCCGACATGGCGACGATCTGCGATCCTGGGTCGACGATGCATTCGATCTGCTCTTTGTTGTCGATTAACGCGATGATCGAACGAATCGCGTTCGAATCGCGTGCGACGGTGAATTCTGCGGGGTGCTCGCCGTGAGGGATGTGCTTCAGATATGTTTCATAGGGGTCGGGGACAATTGTAGCACCTGGTTCCAACGTTGCGCCCGAACACGAGAGCTGGTTGACGGCCGTGACCTCGTCGGCGCCGATTTCTACGATGTGGGCCGACGCGATGGGTTCCGTCGAGACTCGCTTAGGGGTGACGGCGTCGCGGTACTTGTTTCGAACGTCCGGCGCGATCGAAAGCAACTCTTCTGGGGTCAGCGTGACGAACTGCGACTTCATCGAACGCTGGAAGATTTCTTCGGCGAGCTTCGGCTGGATGACAGGGACGATGGTCTTGTACGCTGGTTCCTTGCCCTTGTCGTTCGAGGGCTTCGGCGGAGTTGCGAAGTTTCGAACGTTCGGTGGGGCGTAGGTTGCATCGCGAGCGTTTGCGAAGGGGTGTACTGGTGGTGCTGGGGGAGCGGACGTAGTAATAGGATGAGACGTGGATTGCGTAGGCGAGGAGGAAGACGACATGGGTGCTGCTGCTGGTATCGTCGGAGGCGGGGCTGTGCTTGTCGAAGTGCTCGGGGGTGCCGCCACTCCTTTCGATGTACCAGATCCAGAGGCTTCCGCGCTCCTCGGGATGGCTGTCGTCGTAGGCTTCTTCCGCTGTAGAATCTCGACGCCGTCGAAGACCTCCCTTCACTTCCGAAGCTGAAGGAGTTCTCGTTCGAGCGCCTCGATCCTGCTGCTGGTGTTGAGCGTGAATGTTTGCACAGTCGAGCGATCGTCGATCTCGAAGAGCATCGTCGGAGCTGCGGGTGCTGCAGGGTTTCTTCTATGCCACTCGTAGATTCGATCTCGTATTGTGAGACCAGGGATAGTGCGGGGGCAGAAACTTCCGTTTGGAAGAACGATCTTGCCGTCGGTGTTCCATTTGCACTTGCCGTCCCGAATGTCGATCTCCGCAAACTCGCAGGTGCCTACCCTGCAGCCGCGATTGCCGCAGTAGTGGCACGTCTGTTCAGCTCCGGTGTTCTCGTGGACGTGGCCGGCAGCTTGTTGTCTCGGTGCGGGGGCGTGGTTGTGCGTAGCGTGCGTCGTCGGCTGAATGAGTGTTGCGATCGTCCTCGACAGGCTTTCGATGATCATCGAGATGTCTTCGGTTTTGATCATCCCGGGGGGCACCGTTGTCGAAGCGTTTGATGTCGAAGCGGTAGCTTGGTTAGCTGCTGTCGTAGGTGTGCTCGATGTACCGTGTAGAATGAAAGTAGCCGCCGCGTGAATCTCTGCCATGGTGTATGGGTCGTCGGCGTAGTGATCGGGATGCTTGAGATGCAGTCGGGTCTCGAGCCGTGTGAGCAACGCTGGCTGGAAACCTCGAAGAAATGCGCGACTTTGTTCGATAGTGGAGAGCCGGTGCTGTGCGATGAGATGTTTTGTAATGGCCATGAAGTCGCGGTAATAGCAGCCTAGGTCTGCCGCGTTATGAATCCCGATACGGGCGTGTTCTCCGATGAGCTGATCCATGTCCGCCAGCGACCACTTTCTTGTATCGTCGGCACCAGGATAGAGTGCTCGTACGTCGGCTTTCCAGTCGTTGTAGCTCTTGGTTACGTCGATGAAGGACTCGATGGTTTCCCATAAGTCGGCGACGTCGATCGAAGGGTACCGAACGGCCCACTGTTTCTTGGCTGCTTCGTCGGTAATCTGACACCGGGTGAACAACGCCTCGAGGTCCTGGAAGTAATGCCGAAGCGAACGGACTTCCGACGGGTCGAAGCTTGGTGCTGTCGAATGACCGCGCGGGGGCATCAATGGTGTATTCGTGGTCTGACTCATGTTCGTAGTGGTAGTAGGAGCTGGGCTCGAAGAGGACGTGGTAGTAGTCGAAGGAATCGTAGGTGCGGGCGGTGCGAGGTTGGAGTTCGAAGCTGCGTTCGAAGGTGCTAATGGTGGCGGAGGTGCCAGGTCGGATGTAGGTATGAC